TAGTATCTTGAGAAACAATTGGTTTAAAAGTGTTATAAGTTTGTTTATCACATTGGTTTTAGGGGTGTATTTTTTAGTTGTTCAAGTTGGGGTATATTCAGAGGCTTCTTTTAATTTTATGAGAAGCGTATACGGGAGAGTGTTTTTTTGGCTACTGGGTTTCATGGTTTTCATGTTTTATTAGGTTGCTTTATGATTTTAGGTAGCTTAGTTCGTGTGTTGGCATTGTCTATGGAGGTCTGAGTTCATTATGGGTTTGAGTTTTTTGCTTGGTATTGACATTTTGTTGATGTTGTTTGATTGTTTTTGTTTGTGTTTATTTATTGATGAGGTAATTAATCTGAGTTTTATTATTATATTTTATTATTTCTATCATTATACCCTTAGTTTTATTAGTGTTGTTTGAGTCAGGAATGTTAAAATTTTATCATGGTAAGGAGTCTGCTATATTTGAGTGTGGGGTCGATTCTTATAATGTTAGTTTAATTCCTATTTCTTTACGTTTTTATGTATTTCGTATTTCATTTTTAATTTTAGATTTGGAGTTAGTTATTGTTAGTTGTGTACCTTTATTGTTATTCATAGATATGATTGTTATTAATTTTGTTTTATTTTTTATTTTAGTGACTATTAGTTTAATAATGGATTGGTTGGTGGGAACTTTAAGATGGGTAGAGTAGATCAAAGCGAGGTGTTAGCTCTCCATAACTTACAATTTTTTAAAAAACTATGACCACTCGCCCACGATTGTATTTTCTTTTCGTCCATGAACTTTCGTCGATTTCCACCACATGTCCTACCCCACCAATCACTCCCGGATGCTTTAAAAAAAATTCAGCGCAGATATCACGAAGGAAATTTTTCAATCAACGATGGTAGACTCACTTGCTAAATTACAATGATGTCGAAGATGTTCATGGCTATCGAGGCCTTGTAACCAATAAAACATTAAATCGAGTAACCGCTGGATTGGTAATCTCGACGCAGAAAAGAAGGTGCCATCACGAATAGATCGAGTTAACTTGCAACCTTTTGCACGACAACGTCATTGATATTCTAAAACATAACATAAAATGTAAACTGCTTTCTGAGGTTATGTTGTATTACTTACTGTCGTGGGCTCTTGACGATTTGCCCATATACCATTTATGACGACCGTTCGTACATGGCGCACTTGGCCTATACGGTATTGATCCAAGTGTTTGACAAAATGATATACAATCTTCTAGAGTATCAGTAATATGGTTCCATTCACGTAATGTCATCTTATCAACAGGCAGTAACGGAAAAATAAATAGAGATCGATTTGATGTTTGAATTCGTAAATGTGTTCATGTGATATTGAAAATGAAATCTATCCGGTCAGTTTTTCTAGATAAGCAGTCGAAATCGAACAGATTCAATTATGTAGGAGAACAGAATGAAAAAATAAAATTTTCAAAAAATGAAAAAGAATACTCATCTAGATAATTCTTCCATATTAT